CCCTTCCTCTGAAAAAAACGTATTCAAAAAATTATAAATTTTAGAGCAGTTACAAATCTCTTCTTAAAAGCGAGTGCAATAAACATGTGAGACAATCGCTGCTCCTCGTTTGCGGAAGATAACTAGTGCTCATCGTATACAGATGAGTGGCACTCAGAAAATGACCAGGCAGAAAATTTCTGATAAGAAAGCAACCCAAAACGAAAGAGCTCGCTCTCCCTTTGGCATCAAATGCATAACTTAGCTGAGTCCCGAATTCGAAGGAAGTTATTTCCGTAATCGATGAACACTTAATTCTATCATAAATACGTGAAAAACAAGCAAAAGATTATAAATTCGTACATCTGGAATTCAATCAGGGGACTATTGAGCATCGCATATACAGCAGTCGAGAGTTGTTTGGTCCATGGTGGATGAGCACGTTTTGCTATGCCAATTAATGCTTCACAACGTAAACCGATGTTTGATATGCCTTCAGCCACCGCCAAGCATCGCTCGTCCCAAGGATTTGAAGATGAAACAACACCAGCATAGTTACTTGAAATTTTCTGCAAAAATTGCATTTGTCTGTTTGATTTTCTTAACTAGGATGGATCCACAGGTCACGCCTCTCGTCGAGATGACTGATCTTAGCAAAATTATTTGTTTTACCAAATTGTATTTTAAACTTCTGCATATACAAAAAACTGCATGTCACGAACGAAGCCCTTTCCAAAAGGGCCATGGACAACGTAAGGAATCGAACCAGCTTCTTTCACATTCGTGTGCGAGCGCCAATCCACTACACCACCGGTCCTCGTGCTACACCACTCGGCCCCAGCTTGGAGGCACATCTACTGTGTATCTGGCTTCCAAGGCAAAATACGCCTTTCTTTTCTTGTCTGCCCCCTTCTACCGTATGTGTGCAGCAACTTTTTTGCCGGTTTTTGGCTGATTTTCCGCGGTGCTGAGGACCAATAGTAGCCACCTACTGGTAAAGTTATTGATGTATTTCTTCGTCATGAACTGTTTATACGCAAATTGATATCATATTTGACTCAGCAATTGTCAGTACCAGTTCTTCATCGAAAAGAGCCGTTCAATGGCATATAGAAGAATTCGTTTTCCCGCCGGCAGAATTTCACCATAGACTTTCGATGTAGTAGTAACGATTCCTACCAATACACGTTAAGCCGACCAGCTAAATCGAAAAACTTAAGAAGTACTCCAAGCCCAAGATCAAGAGAATTCGCCACTGTGTCGACCTTGAAAGTAAACACTATGATTAAGCAGCATAATGATTAAAAATACGAAAGTAAAATAGCTTGAAATGCAAGCTAACCGCGGTGTAATTGTAAAGTGTACGATCCGGATCCAGCTTATATTCCTCCATATAAGGTCTCGCATATTCATCCAGGTTTCTTTTAATCAACTGCACATTTCTCACTCTTTCCAAGATCAGATAACAGATCGATTCCACCGTTTGTTCCTGAAAAAAATGTTCAATCAAACGAAAAAGGGATTGTTCACTCTAGTAGATGGTATCAATGACATGAAAAATATTAATCCGAATAACTCACACGGTTTCTCCTAGAAGCAAGATTAACTGAAGTACAAAAAATTAACACTGAGCATCAGAAGTTCAGAAAATTTTACAAAATATAGTGCAGAAAAAAGAAAAGCATGGATTTTCAAAGACAAATTTTCGTTAATTGAAATTTCCAACCAACCTGATAATCGTTATAACTCATTGCACACTGATAAACATCTTTGAGTTTCACCATTTCACGTAAGTTTTTGACATACGTGTTCAAGTCTCCCATTAAAGCATCGGGATCGCTCGAATCACATCGAATCATCGATAAAGCATATGCAACATGAGCCTGAAATACATGGTTTAGGAGAAAGAAATGTACGTAGGCCAAATTCTGGTGCAACAATACAAGTTCTATCAAACCCACTGTAAAAATGCTTAACGTGTCCAGTATGTCGTAAATACGTATGCTGTGGCTAGAAACTGGGAACGTGCGGCTTCATCGGAAGAACTATGTCCTGGGGTGTGGTTATATCTCAATGACATCTGAGCTCAACACCGGCAAGTCCATCCGTTACAAAACGAAAATGTGGCAGATATGAGCAACGAATGAAGACGGTTAATCCCCTTTTTAAAGTACTTCGACGAATAGCCCAAAAGAAAGAAAACAGGTAGGATGGACATCATTCCCGAAAATAGTCATGGGTGGTTATGGAACTCTGTCATATCTGGATGCAACGTGCTACTTGTGCTCCATGATTAGCCTGGCAGCAATATCTTCTCTCTATATCGGCCTTTCAGAGCAGAATTTTATGCTGAATTTACGCAAGGCAGAAATTTAAACTGAATTTATGCAAAAAAGAAGAAGATGGACCTGATAGGAGGGAGATTTAGAAGAATTAATTAGATTCTGGATAACGCGTTCCATTGTTGATGCAATTTGCAGCGAATTTCCAGGAAATTTCTGTGGCTGCTTTGTCTCCATGAGGCGTGCAAGATTCATTAGGAAATGAGTGGAACTGGTGCAACAAACTACTGGATCATTGAGCAGGGCAACTGGAATGACATCCTCCTCCAAAAATTTCAATGCTCCCATCATGTCGCACTGGATGGTTCTCTCTGAAATGCTTTCGTGAAATTCCAAAAGTTAACAAATTAATAAATTCGAAATGAAGGAGAAAGTACATATTTTCTGAATTGGAAAACCACAAAATGCTAGATTTTTGATTACCTAATGCACTGCTTCCAAATTGAGTTTTGTTAGCAAAACACTGCTTCCAAACTGAGTTTTGTTAGCTCCCCCATCCTCCTCCCTCTCTTCCCTATTCGTGGATCTTTTCCGTTTTTTACACATTCACGCTTAAACTGTTTAACAGTTTAAATTTGCCATATCTAGAAACCTTCCGGTGTAACGCAGACGAACGCGAATGTCATATCAGTAACAAAAAAAAAGAATTCGCCGAAAAACATGTTAGTAAACTCCACAAATTCAAATTCTCTACAAGATTACCAAGACGACCCGGTTCATGGAATTTCAAAGTTATTGAATGTGTCCATGCTTGCAACGAAGCTAAGTTAAATACTCTTCAGCCTAAAAGCCACCGGCTTCATCACCGCTCGTGGCACCATCTAGTGGACGGAGTACTGTTTTTTGCAAAAGAGCGTGCACCGGTAAGGAATTGAACCATTCCCCCTCACACCCAGACACAACGTGCTATCCACTGCACCACCGGTCTTTCTTGCCACAACCAATCCGACAGCACATCTACTGTGTATCTGCCTTTAAAACAGCATATGCCTTCTCTTCCTTTCTTTGACTTGTGCATTTTTTTTTTGTGCCGGCTTCTCTGCCGACTTTTCTTGGGAATTCTGCAACAGCTCCTTCTATACTGAACGGCATATCTTCAGTTTGTACCTATACTGTTCATTGGGAAATTGGGAAAGCAACCATTCTTTCCAGGATAAGCTAGTAATCCGGTCCTTGCGGAAGTCTCTGACTGATACACTTTAAAAATAAAAGAATCATACCTCCACTTCTTGGCAAAATTGAGTTTAATATATGTTTAATGTTTGCAACGAGTTTCACTGTAGAGCTTCTCTTGGAAAGAATGGCGAGAGCAAAGCGTGACGAAATTATATAGCAGGAGATGATCTCGTTTCTCATTTGTGGCTTCACAATAAAACTAACGCTACCAGGCCTTTTAAAGCTGCCCCAAACAAGATGATTTGCGCAGATTTAATATCTATGTCTCCGTTCAATTTCCAAACAAAAAAAAACATAAACAAATACCCCATAAAACGTGATCGATATCTTCAATGAACTCCACAAATCTCCCTGGTTCTTTGATCCATCCTTCTAAAACTGTGCGATAACGGCCCCACAATAAACGAGCTTCGCAAAAACGCCCAATTTTGCAAAATTTTTGCAAAATATTTTCCCAGGAGAAACCGCTGAGAAATTCGGTCCATAAATTCATTTCTAAAGATTCGTGTCGTTCCAAGCTTTCCTGAAAGGATATATTTAGCAAGAAGGATTTCAAAACCATAGTTTATTTAATGAAACATGCATACTGCGACGTTAGATAGTAACAGCATCAAGTTTGCTCAATTTACCGATGTGGATCCCCAGTACTTTTTGACGTGTAGTATGCAATCTCTAGACCCTGATAAACCAACGGAACTCCAGGAAAGATGAATTCAAGCATGTAATGTATTAATAAAGTTTGAGAAAAGCGATACTGCTTTTAAGGAACTCTTTGAGTACAAAGCGAGTGATTTAATCCAAGGAACTCTTGCATCTGGCGCAGCGGTGGATGTCAACTATACAGTGTTAATCAAAAATTGGAAAGTAGGGCTGTGAAATCGAAGAATCCATTCAGGTGCCCTGTACAGAGCTGTGTGGAATCGACGAATTCAGAGCTAAAGCAGACGGTGTCATGGAAAATCTGCGAAAAGCCGGCAAAGAAGCCGCCACAAATGTGCCACCAGGCTGATCACAAAGCACAAGGGTCGGTGGTGTAATGGATAGAATTTCACGTCCGGATGTAAAGAACACTGGTTCGATTCCCTGTCAGTCCTCCACCACTTTTGAAAAGGGGCCCTATCCACAAATGAGGAGGTAGGTAGAGGCGCTGACAGCTGTTGATAAAAGTTAAAGTTTTAGTTGCTATTTGAAATTTTTTAGTTATTTTGAATACGAAACAAACCCATGGGCCAAGAATCTCGCAGTAAGACTGGAAATTGTATCGAATGGTCGTCACTCGCTCGCTAGTTTCACTGTCTAAAAAACATCTAAATTAAAAATTTGCTCGAAGGAAAAAAAGCATCTTTAAGTAATTTATTTGGTAATTTCTCTATTGTGTTTGGGTATCTCCATATCCCAGTGAAGTCCAGCACCTTGGAAACTCTTTTACGACTGATTCCTGGATAACCTGTTCTACAGGTAATCGCGTTATGAAAAAGCAAAGAAGAGAATTACGCGAGGTGACCAATTCTAAAAAGTGTGGAATCGATGAGCGCAGAATTCAACTTCTTCTTTCTCTCGGGTACCACTCACTGATACTCGACGCTCACCGAAAATGCTCTGTATTAATTAAGAAATGGAGAAAGTTATACCTGTTATTTTCAGTGTCTGCAGGAAATTCAGTATTTTTTTAATCCATGAACGATCTGAGCAATACATCACTGCTACAATACACATTTCGGCTACCTGAACATAGTGGATTAGTAATAACAACCATCTTTTTTTTTCATCCATAAAACTGATATTTTCGCATGATGCTAGGCTATTTTGGTCAATTTTCGATGAAAAACAGTTCACATAGTTCTGCGCCGTGTCTACTGCTAAAGGCAATTCTCACGTAGATATTTCTGACAATTTTATACTGTGCCAAGCCAGTTCTAGCAGCCAATGAATAATTACTTGAAACGGGAACCCCCAAATTTTTCGGTGATCCAAAAAATTAAAAATTCAAAAATTCAAATGCCAGATGCAAAATTACCCAGTCCTGATCGGAGATATTCTTCACCCAAACGAAGAAATTATCAGCGTCCGAAGTATCCAGTGCACCTGCATTCAGTTTATTCATTTCCACAAAATGTTCAATACGAGCTTTGTAAATAATCTGAAACCAAAATTTTCGAGTTTTTTTTTTGAGAAATTTTATAAATGAGAACAATTAGATCGCCTTCCAGTATACTGCCAGACATTACTGCATCCGAAAAGTGTCACGAAACTCTTGTATAACTGAATTTCAATATAATTTCGCCCCCCTTCCCCACCGCCCCACCCCTAACAGCCATCGTGAAAGAGCGCGGAAGAGTCCAAAAGATACTCGGTGGATATCCGTTGCGTTTATTTATCATATACCTCATCATCCCGCCTCAAAAAAAGCATCGCCGCTGTGAAGAATGCAGTCAAAATTAACTTTTTAGGTACTGAATACGAAAATTAAGTTACCTCCCGATCCTGGAAAATGCTTCAGAAGCAGCACCATAAATTCACAAACTAACAA